TGACATAGTTTATCTCCGTATTCATTTTGCTTTGTGCATGCTAGGAGTAGATATAAAAAACACCTCACAAAACCCAACCAACCAACCAACTAAACAAAAAACCCCAAACCCTAGCATAAAAACCCCAATAAAAATAATCATCATTTGCAAGTTACAGAAGTATGCCTAAAAAAAGTTTCTAAATGTACAATTAGAACTAGTTTGCAGATTTTGGTTTCTTGTGAAGAAAGAGTCTGAGTTTACTTGCCACAGAATTGTTTGCATGTGTTGCTCCTTTGATGTCTTCCATATCAATGACCTCCAAAGTGGGGTGCGCAAGACTAAACATTAAGGTGCAGGAAGGAAATATTAGGACTTACATTTTACCTGAAAAAAATAAGAAAGAAATTAAGCTCTATGTAATATATGTATTGACACTGTCACCCTCACTCAGTCCATATGTCGGATGGTCTTGTGTCACATATGGCTTGCAAAGTGTCCTGAGGGTGAATTTGGTGTTCCACAACTTGGGGGGGGGGTGTTACAGTAGCAGTTTGTGTGCCTGGTTAGGTGGATTTATGGATTATATTATTTATATTTAGTTTATATAAACTAAACTAACCCTCACAAAATGGGCAAGCGGCTTAAAAAATTTCTGCAAAGTGAGCACAGATTGAAGATAATACTAATAATGTGAGCACAGGTGACTGACAAGAACATGGCAGAGCTGACACTTCTACTCCTGGTATGAGCTCCTGGTCAGGCACATTACAAGGTAAAAACAGTGGCAATTAGATCTGACAAGATATTGGCCAAAAAAATTTTAGTTTATCAAGAAGGCTAGTTGAAATATGGATGTACATCCATTATCATTAATAATGAACCTCACCCTAAGAGAAGATTGTACCTTGAGATACCAGCTAATGATAGTATGAAGCCATCACAATGAGCCAGGCATTTAGAAAATAAGCATCTAGAACATGAAGACAAGCCTCTACAGTGTTTTCAATAATAGTTAATGGTGTGTAATACTCAGTACAGTACTTTATCAGATTTCACTAAAGTTAATGATAGATCTTTAGAAGCCTCTTCTGAGGTTTCTCAGTAGCAAAAGACCTAGAAGCCACATACCATTGTGGAGACACTTGATCTTCCCGCTGCAGTGAAAATGTCTGAATTAATACATGGAAAACAATGTGGTGACAAACTGAAAAGCATTCCTTTGTCAGCAGATGCTGTTGGATGATGTCTGGAAAACATTGGCAAAGAAACAAATACTAGAACAGATTACACAGTGTGGGAGGCTTGCTGTACAGCTGGACGAAAGTATAGGTGTTTGTAACATGGCTCAGCTTACAGTATTTGCTGGATTGTGTTGATAATGAAGCACACAAAGTACTACGTCATTAGGGAAGCAGAGAAAATGCATTATGTAACAGTAAATGACTTCTTTAATTAAAAATGTTTCTTGAATGGAAAAACTGCACATATAACCACTAATGGACTGGCTGCTTTGACTGAAGAAAGAAGGGTTTCTGGGGTACGGTTACAAGGAGAGCACCACACGTGGAATTCATTCACTGCATCTTGCATAGGCAAGCAACAAGGAAGTTGGAGCCCAAAGTGCACCAAGTGCTGCAGAATGTCATCAATGGGGTTAACTGTATGAAAACAAGACCTTTTAAATAGTAGAGTCTTTACAATAATTCATTATGACATGGGGACTTACCATGAAAATACTTTGTAACATGTAAATGTTTGCTGGTTATCACAGCAAAGTGCTTAGAAGAGTTGTAAAACTTAAAGATTACTTATGTGTTTTTCTTTCACCAAAAAATGATCATTCTGAATTTGCTGTCCCGTGCTGTGGTGACAAATGCCTGTCAGCAGTGTTCTGACTAACAGATATTTTCAGAAAAATAAAGGAACTTAATGTGTACCTTCAAGGTGAGGATGGTGTTTTAACAATGAGCAAGAATGGGACTGCATTTTGAAAGGAATTGCTATGGAGTGAGCAGTTTGGAAAACTTTGCCATAAAAGATGTGTCATCTATAGAAGCTCTTATATCTGTACACTTCAACTTGGAAACTTGGAAACAGAATTTCCTCACTTGTTTAAAAATCTTCCAAATGAAGAGTTTCAGGGGATTTTGAACCCATTTGTTAAAAATATAAAAATGTTTGTATTGCAGTAGTTAGCAATAACAACTGATTGACATTGAGGAAGATGGAAATTTACTGGCCAGATTTCAAAAAAACCCTTTTTATAATTAGTGGATGGGAATGAAAAATGAGTGTCATGATTTAGTAAGTGCAGCCAGTGGTGCACTTTCATTTGAATGTACAGATCTTCGTAAATTGTCTTTTCCAGCTATAGCAGCCATTAAAACCAAGTATCACAATAAACTGAATTTAGACCAGACCTTCAAATTACTGTATTACAAAGTATTAAGCCAACATTTTAAAAAATGATGAAGCATATTCAATCACATGGCTCTCACAAAAAATATTATAAAATACTGCTTATTTCATCTTTATCTCATCCTTTTTAATTGCTATTTTTATATTTTTTTGCCATATACGTAATATATTAGAACAGTGGTACCTATTTGTAATTTATAAATAAGTATACACATACTGGGGGTGTGTGCTTAAAATTTTTTACTGACAGAGGTGCATGATCAAAAAGGTTTGGTGACACCTGTTCCATATTATTATTGATACCAATTAATGTTCACAGAAATCACTGGCAGATGAAGTTGCCAAAGTGTTACCCATCATATTTGAAAAGTCATGGCAGTCTGGTGAAGTTTCTGCTGACTGGAAAAGGGGAAACATAACCCCCATTCTCAAAAAGGGGAAAAAGGAAAACCCAGGAAACTGTCGACCAGTCAGTCTCACCTCTGTGCCTGGCAGGATCATGGAACAGATCCTCCTGACGCCTCTCCTAAGGCACAAGGGGAACGAGGATGCAGTGATTGGTAACCAACATGGCTTCACCAAAGGGAAATTGTGCCTCACCAATTTGGTGGCCTCTTATGACAGAGTTACAACTTCGGTGGATAAAGGAAGAGCAACTGATGACATGTACTTGGACTTGTGCAAAACGTTCGACACTGTCCCGCATGGCATACTGGCCACAAAACCTGGTGAAATGTGGATTTGACAGATGCACCACTTGCTGGATAAGGAATTGGCTGGATGGTTGCACTCAGAGTTGCGGTCAGTGGCTCAATGTCCAAATGGAGACCAGTGACAAGTGGTGTCCCCCAGGGATCGGTTCTGAGACCAGTACTGTTTAACATCTTTGTCAGTGACATGGACAGTGGGGTTGAGTGCACCCTCAGCGAGTTTGCAGATGACACCAAGCTGGGTGGTGTAGTTGACACACTGGAAGGAAGAGTTGCCATCCAGAGGGACCTGGACAAGCTGGAGAGGTGGGCCCATCTCAACCTCATGAAGTTCAGCAAGGTCAAGTGCATGGTCCTGTGCCTGGGTAGGGGCAATCCCAAGCACAAATACAGGCTGAGCAGAGAATGGCTCAGGAGCAGTTTCAAGGAGGTCTCGAGGGTGTCAGTCTATGAAAAACTCAACATGAGCCAGCAATGTGTGCTTGCAGCCCAGAAGGCCAACCACATCTTGAGCTGCATCAGAAGAAGTGTGGTCAGCAGGGCAGGGGAGGTGATTCTGCCCCTCTACTCTGCTGAGACCCCACCTCTGGAGTACTGCGTCCAGTTGTGGGGCCCCCAGTATAAGAAGGACATTGAGCTATTGGAGTGGGTACAGAGGAAGGCCATGAAGATGATCACAGGGCTGGAGCACCTCCCCTATGTGCCTGGCTGAGAGAGTAAGGGCTGTTCAGCCTGGAGAAGAGAAGGCTCCAGGGGGGACCTTATTGTAGCCTTCCAGTACCTGAAGAAGTCCTGTAGGAAAGCTGAGGAGGGACTTTTTACAAGGGCAGGTAGCGATAGAATTATGGAGAATGGTTTTAAACTGGAAGAGGGTAGATTTAGACTACATATTAAAAAGAAATTCTTTACTGTGAGGGTGGTGAGACACTGACACAGGTTGCCCAGGGAAGTGGTGGATGCCCCTCTCTGGAAGTGTTCAAGGCCAGGTTGGACAGAGCTTTGGGCAACCTGATCTGGTGGGAGATGTCCCTGCTCATGGCAGGGGGGTTGGACTGGATGATCTTTAAGGTACCTTCCAACCCAAACCATTCTGTGATTCTATGAAATAAACATATGGAAGTTCATCCAAATCACTAAAAGTCTATTTTAAATGCACATACTATTTTCTCTTGAAAAATAGGTGTCTGATAGAACAGAGAATATTTTACTTGTAGCCTTCTTTCAGGTGTAGTAATTGAGGAGGACGGGAGTGATGTTTTCTCTGTGTACTTCCAGTGCTGAGATGCCTCAGCTAAGATCAGAGCTGCGCTATTTTAGTCACTGAATTGTAAGATGGGGTGGTCCTTGTAAAGTGCTTACTGTCTCAGTAGATGGGGGAAGTGATTTGTGGGTGGACAACAGTGGTATAGAAAGCTGACTGCAACTCCAGGGAAAGAATTCAAATGTTCTTTGTCTGAATCACTTGCGTTATTGCCTGAGTGTATCATTCTGGGGACAGCTTGATTTTCAGAAATGTAAGTGTTTCAGATGTTTTGTTCATTTGAAGTTGTTGCTGGCTGAGCTCATCTCAAGTCAGACCGCAGGCATACCTTCTGGAGACAAGAATATTGATATATCACAGCTGACTTCTTTTTCTTGCCTTGCACAGTTGTTCTAAGTGATATAAACATACACATTATTCAAGTATTTTGGCATCCTCAAATGTAACTTGGGACAAATTTCCAAAGTAATTGTTTTGTTTCTTTTTTAAACTGGTGTTACGGAATAAAGCATTCTGCCATACGTGAGTAGCATTTGGTGACTTGCTGATTCGTTGAACATTTTGTTTAATCTTTATAACTAACATGCAGCAGTAGGAATTTTTAATATGCTACCTGTGTGCTTTTTTCTAGGCTGAAGCCTAAACCTCTGACATGGCCACAGCCTCACCAAGATCTGATACAAGTAACAACCATAATGGAAGATTACAGATGCAAGTAACAGGCAAGCAGTGATTTGTATTATACTATTTTTTACAGGAGAGTGTATGTATTCTAAAAAGCAGTCTCTGAAATAAGTGTAAAAGTGGATCATTGTAGTTAATATTTTAATTACTAACTTGAATGTTACAGTTAAGAGAATGGCTAATATATGTAGATGAATTGAAGCTAGGTAGAAGTTTTACAGTGAGCTGGATGACAGGGTTTAATCTCTTCAAATTAAAAAAAAATGTGATTCAGTACAACAGTAGGGACATATGTAAGGAATTCCATTTGGGAACAAATCATGGCACAAATTCTGTACAGGGAACATGGAGTATTGAAATTGTACAAAAAAGATGGATCACATCACTGTGAAAATGTTTTTTCTTTTATCCAACTGGAATTTACTATGTTGATGTGCTGATTGTCATAGTTCGAAGCAAAATTCAGCCATCCCAGTATCTGCTGGAAGTGAAATACAGTGGGTTACAAGCAATTCTGGAAATTTCTGATTGTGTTTGGGACATTTTTTTCAATAGATGTTGAACAGACCAAGTAGGTTATACATTTTACTGCTTACGGATAAAACTGGTCAGGGATGTGACAATTGGTGTCAGTCTTTCTGTGGGATGGCAGAGTAGAGCAAAGACTTGTAGTAGTCGGAAGATTAGCAAAATGCATCTAGGTTAACAACTTTGATAGCTAATTATGACAGTGTTACAGTAATGAAAAGGCAAAATATTACCAGCAAGTAGTTAGATATTGTGCATAAATATTTATACACACAAATGTATGTGTGTATGTATATAAGTGTTATTTTACTGTTGATAAATAACTTGAACTTTCCAGGGATCCTGAGATATATTGAGAACCCTGAAGTAAGAATGAATGGGTGACCAAGAATGTTAAGGCTATCTTAAAGAAAATTTGGAAAAAAACATGAGTAGGATACCATGTCTTAAAAAAAGCTGCATCTCAAGAAAGATATATTATGCTGGATGGTCCAAAGGTGGCCAGGTTAACTGAGAAAAAAAAATCCCAAACATTGTTGGAGGGTCCCCAAAATGGATATTTTATCAAATCAGATAAGAGAGGAATCTTAAAAGTTATTAATGTTGTGTAAGGATCACATAACTTGATAATGTGATGAATCATCAAAACTGGCAATAAGTAATAGCATGGATGGAGCCACCTGTAGATTGGATATATATACTGTAACAAACTGAGTTGCACAGATGACCTGCAACTTCAGATCTGTGTATGCAGAAATGATCAATTTGATATCCTGTACTGTATAGCTCCTTAAGTAAGTAGTCTTGTATTTTTCTGGCACTGGAGCTTCTCTTGACTTCTAGAGAACTGGTTCAGGAATTGAAGTGAATCTGTACAATTTTTAGGATTTTTTTTCTAAAGGTGTAGTTCTTTAACCAGTCCTTACTGCAAGATCAGAGGAATGCCTGTGGCAGTGCAGGGAAAGAAGTGAGTCATGGAGGAGTGTGGGACTGTAATATTGCTGACCTAGACTAGTTGATGTTCAGGTAAGTTTATGGTGCTGTAGAATCTAGATTTGTATTTCAGGAACTGTAATTTTAAAAGCAATTTTATAAAGGCAGCAAGTAACATATACTCATTTTGTATACAATGAAATTCACGTGGAGCGGTGACTTGGTCAAGTTTGGACAGTTGCAGCATGTTGCTGACACGTTTGGCCATCAGTATTTTTTCAGATTTACTTGGTCAGATATCTTGTCATGTTCTTTTTGGAGTCTTTTGCTTGTATTTGTTACTTACTCCTATTTTTTTAAAAAGAACTCCTAACCAAAAAATGATAATGATCTCTTTTCATGTTTGGGGACTGAAAACTTAATGATTAAAATGAGGGAAACTAAAAGGAAGCTTTAATGTTATGACTAAATACTTATGTTTTAACAAATGTTGCAGTTGTTTTTAGAAAGTAAAATACGGAGGAAAAAATGTGGACGATGCAGAAATTGTTAGAGCGTAAAAATATATCATCATTTCAGCTGGCAAAATGTGACCCATGTGTGGAATTATGTTTTGTCTTGTATACTTAATCTTTCATTGCTGTGAAGGCTGCAGTTCCTTTTTATGACACATAACTCATTTAGAGACATGGTTTAGTATTGGACAGGTTATGGTTGGACTCAGTAATCTTAAAAGTCTTTTCCAACCAAATGATTTTATGATTCTATTACTTAGGCTGGACTTTTTGAATTTCAAGGAGTTAAGTGTGCACCTTTTGATTGAAATTAAGTAAAAGTCCATGGCTAATGCCTTTAGAATCTTGGATGGTTGCATCCTGCTGACTTCTGAGGCCTATACATTAGTTACTTAAAATACTGTAATCCAGAAATAGATGACAGACCTTTTTTGTCTCCTTTCAGTTGACTTCCACTTATTTTTGTATTAGGCAGTACCATACAGAAAAGTGACAGGGTGTCATGGTTTAGGCCCAGCTGGCAATAAGCACCACGCGGCTGCAGGCACGTCAACCTGCCTTCTCACCATGGACTGCAGGGGAATCTGCTCCAGCACACCTCCTCCCCCTCCTTTCTTCCCTGACCTTGATGTCTATGTAGTTGTTTTGCTCGCATCCCACTCCTCTCTCTGCTGCAGGTTCTGCAGCAGTTTTGGTTTTGGGTGGTTTTTTTTCCCCCCTCTTAAATATGTTATCACGGAGGCACGACCACTGTTGCTGACTCAGCCTTGGCCAGAGGCAGGTCCCACTCGGAGCAGAGGAAGCTTCTAGCAGCTTCTCACAGGAGCTACCCCTATAGCCCCTCCCTCACTACCGAAACCTTGTCAGAAAAACCCAACACTCAGGGAAGGATTATTTCCAAGTGACTGAAAATGCTTGGCTTTGCTTTAGTTTGAAAGTGAAGGAAAAGAGAATCACACTGCAGTATGGGAGGAATGAGAGATAAGGCATAGCCAAGCAGCTAGGTACAGCTGTGAGTCCATCGGTGGTGTTTTCTGAAGATAACATCTCCTTGAAGTAGAATTTAAAATGCTGGCAGTTGGGCTGGTGTTAGTTTTTAGAGTGACTTCCTCAGCTGGATGAGGAAGTGGGAGAACAGATTTATGTTGAGGGGCACTGAAGACCTCATCAGTGATTCAGAGGTAAAAAATAGCTTCTTTGGACATTTGCTGTTTCTTAATTGTTGAATATTTAGCCGAAACTTTAAAGTTCATCTGCAAAGCTGTTTAAATAGGGGAAATACGAGAGTTGATTTCTTACTTTTAACAAACTGATGTGTTAAACCACAGGTTAACCACACAGGTAATATAAGCAAGGAAATGAAGCTCTGTATGCAGCCTTGCTGCTATACTGGGATCTTTTGAAACAGGTCATAACTGTCTGTGCTTTCATAACTAATTCTGTGTGATAATCTCTCAAGTGTATGATACTTAAATATTCTTCAGTTAAGGGAAGAATAGGAATTATAATGAGAAAATAAACAGAAGAACCCACATGGTTTTCAGTGTTTATCCCTAAAATAATTGTTGTGCTGTCGCTCCAACCCATCCTGCCAGTATGTGCTGGAGAGAATATGTCATACTTGGTTTCAACTATCTGACAGCGCAGCTTATGAAAATAAAAGCTACCATTTAAGCATTGACCTCTTCATGTTGAGCAGAAGTAGAAAAATTAAGAAATAACATTGCTGTGCTGTGTTTCATACATTGTGTAGGCAGTACATTTTGTTTTTCAGCAACAGTATGTTGTTATAGATAAAGCAATGTATTTTATTAGTTTCTAGTGCCAAACTGAAACGGAAAAAGAATTGGTTTGGAACAACTTTCTACACGGAATTAACTGCAGATGGAGAAATTAAGAAAACAGCAAAATCAAGTAGTTCTTCAAATCCAAAATGGGATGAGCAGCTGACAGTGTAAGTAGATATTTTTGACTGTTTAATACTATCTATTAGGTAGACATTGCAGGCAAATATTTACTAAACTTGGCTGCATACATAGTTTTCTCTGGCTGTTGATGACTAAATGCAGACATATTTATCTCAAATGACTTTTTTTTCTCAATTCTTACAATGTTGTGAAAATATTTTTTGTACAGTGTTCCTTGCGTACAGTTGCTATACATGGTATATTCTTGATATTTGTTAGCACTGTGGACTGCTCAAGTTTAAGATACCTCTCTAGAAGATGTTATTAATTGTAACCATGTCATTTTCAACTTTAAAAGGAAAAAAAATCTTCAGTTGGATAAATAGTTAGGAGAAAGGCCACCTCTTTACTTTAAATTTCCTAGTGAAGAGATACACACAAAAACAGTTTACTGCAAAGTGACCTTGCAACTTATCCTAATATTTGACCTTATTAATCTTCTCGTGGTTTAATGTGGTTTAACTGTGCTACAGTGGATACTGGATATGAAAAACTGGCAATCTTGCACTGTGCAATTGGTTAGAATGCATTAATATACAATGAGGATTGTACTGCTTCAGCTTTGGGTCTGGAAACAGCATGGCTAAAGTCAGGTGGCATTGAGTATGGATCAGTACATTTTACAGCAACAGCCAGTTTTGTTGGTAGTAGGAGCTGTGCCAGTTCCTCTGTTAAGGTTCCTCTTAACAGTGTTGGTGAGCGGGGAGCGGTGCAGTGTACCTGGCTTTGGGAACTGTTTGCTTGGGAACACTTACCAACTATGGACCTGGGTTGAAGCAAGTAGGCTATTCCTGTGGTACATTCCTCTATGTTTCAGTTTTAGTGGAGCCTATTAGCCCTTTCCAGTATTGCAAAAGAGAATAATATAGTCCTGGACCTGACAATGATTTCCAGGAGTTATTGCTAGCACAAGTATTGAGCTATCAGTTTATTTATAGAGACCAGAGTTTCTGTTGAGGAGGCAGATTTCTATGGGTCTGCATGAGCACCAGCAATATATTCTCTGTGTATCAGTGGTTTTTTTTCTTCTTTTCTTTGTTGAGCTGGACTTCTAGTAAGACTTCCGTTAAGAGGCAACCTATTAAAAATGCAAAAATATATTTTCTCATGGTTTTCAGCAAAAATGGTGCATGTTGCCCACCACATTCAAGTGACAATAAAGCTAGCCCTATTTTGGGGAGGGTTGGGATTGTTTTTAGTATTGTTCTCATCAGTGCTGATAGGACTTTCTGTGTCCAGTACTGATGTATATGTGGCCTTTGACTTTTTGCAGCACCGTGATTCTACTCCATTTTTCACAGCCAGGAGCACTCTTGCAGTACTAGGCCTTGTACTATGAAACTTACTCTCCAGGACCTAGCAAAGCTTTCCATTTTCCTTACTGAGCAAGGGAGAGATCACTGCCAAAAGTTAACATAATATTACTGTAATTAGGTCCTTTGTCTTTCTGCTTCCCACCAATATTAACTCTAGCTTCATAATTTGATTTTTTTACGTTTGATTTCTGTGGGTATTACGGTGTTAGATATATTTGTGAAATCACAAATAATGTTTTATCAACACTTTCGTGTCAAGCTGACACCTGTTAAGTGGGTTTGTCCTGCTTGTAAGTAGCTGATTGATTGCTTTTACCTTTTTAAAAAATATTTAGTATTTTTCTTTCTTGTGACAGACAAATATACTTACCACCTTTTTCTCCACATTTAATAATGTGAGTTTTTAGTTTGAATTATGGAATAGTGAGGAATGAGGAAAATATGTCTTTCATGAGTAATTTAAGATGTGTTTTGTATAACTGAGATTTAATCTTAGTGTAGGTTATTCTGATACTCCTCAAATTCCTTATGCTATTGTAATGCACTTAAAGTTTTATCTTAAACTTCAAACACTATGATATTAGTTAAAAATTTCTCCTTGCAGTACAAAAACCTTTTTCAGTTAATGAGTATCAAGAGGTACAATAAATACGAGAAAGTGAATGAAGTTCAAGTACTCCTAACAGCAAGAACGAATACTTTAAGTTCTGTATATATTTTTTAAAAAAATGTATTTTATATGCAGGAATGTGACTCCACAGACTACGCTGGAATTTAGAGTGTGGAGCCATCACACTTTAAAAGCAGATGCTTTATTAGGAAGAGCAACTGTAGACTTGAGACAAGCTTTGGAAATACACAATAGAAAATGTAAGTTATTGTGAAGGATATTTTGAGCAAAGTAGAATTATTATTACTAATCTATATATCAAACTGGCAGCCAGGCTACTAACTGTACATGTAATTACAATTGACTTTCAGTTGATGACTTTACTTCTCTTTTATAGAGATGTCTGTGCTATTGAGAGCAATTTAAATGTAACAATGGGATATAATAACTTTGAAACAAACATTAGAATATGAGTTAACTACAAATTAAGTGAAAGTGGAAGTGATTAAATACAGTGTTTTATGTCAAACTAATCACTAATTTGGTAGAAGATCTGTTTTAAACTTGTTAAAATAAAAGTCTAAACTTTCAGAAAAGCTGTCTTTGTAATTTTTCGTGTTTTCCTTCTCTGGAATCACTAATAGAAAGGCTGGGTATTTTTGCCTCATAATTTAGCTGCCCAGAGAGCAGTAGGAACCACTGATTGACACTGCTGAGAACTCCTTATAGCACATTAGTGATTGTTGTGTTCTATGTAACTTCTAATTTTAATTGTCTTTAATAAATTAAAACAGGTCTTCTTTATCTAATTTGCTTTTTGAAAGTTTTTTCATTAGCACAAGAAGGTGGTGAATCCACACTTTAAATTCCACTCCAGAATGGCAGTAGAATTCCAGCTAAACCATTCTCCAACCTTTCTTACAAGTTAGAGATACAAACCTGAGAGCTCTCTTTAGCAGAGTGGTGGGAAAGGAGAACAGGAAAAAAAAAAGCTTCATTTTTTCTGATTCTTGGAAAACCTTGAAACAGAATCCAAAATGAGTGGAGTTTCTTCAGAAGTATTATAAAGATTCTGCCCAGGTTTTCATAGTTAAACAGAAAAGCTGCTTCCTTTTTAAATTAAAAAAAAAAACCTGTATCAGAAGAAATGGGGTTGTAATAATGGTAGCACAAAATAGTTAATATTTTAACTATTTCTAACAAAATAGCTAATTTTTTTTTACTGTAGATCCAGGGAATGTACATTGCACTAAAAGTAATTTATGTGCAGTGTTTCTGATTTGGGCAAGTCAGCAGTTTGACACATACCAGATTATCCAACAATTCAGTGGTAGCATAATCTGACTGATATACTTCAGTTGTTCATTTATCTAAAACACAGCATTTGAAAGGCTGGTTACTGAAGAAAATGTAAAAGAGAAGTCCTCTAAGTGCAGAAACTTCAACGTTAGTGCTGTTGTTTTCTCCTGCTAAACACCACCAGTATGGAATTGCTGCCCACATCCCTACTAGCTTTCTTGCCAGCTCAGTTGCTCTGCAGCCAACTGTTGATCTGTTTTGGGGACATAACCTGTTAAAATAGCAGAAGCTAAACCGATCAGCCTTTGCAGAAATGATGATGTATAAATATGTTAATTTAACAACTCAGTGGTAGGCTAGTTTATTCCTTCTCTTCTTTCTGGTAGTACCATTTTCCAAAATTCATCTTGCTAAATCAATAATTCTGTAGATTTTGCAGCTTGGTACTTGCTCCAGCAATTTAAAGTACTTTGAAATCCATTGTAGTACAGCAGTGGGTGTCTGTAATTGCTGCCCAATTACACTGTCAAACGTGCTCTTTAAAGTAACAGCTTGGGAGTATCTGGCAGTAGCTTATGGTATCCTTCCCTGTTTTCATGTTTATTGTTCATCTATCATATTTGTTAGGAGTTAAAAAAAACAAGGAGATGTTAGTTTAATGTATGCAAGTGCACAGTGAGCTTTAATTTCAGCTTGGAATGCTATCATATGAGGGAAATTTGACGGTATATCTTGAAAAATTAATCTTTTAATCTGAGATAGTAAATACTAAAACCCCTTGACCATTTTTACCTGATTAATGGGAACTCATAGCTGACTGTGTTTGCATTTATGACATGTAGCTTTAACTGCTGTACTACAAACAGATGCTTTAGAGAGAATTACACAGTGGCCGTAGCCACAGCATGTTTTACCTCTGGATTATGTTTGTCTCTACACACTTGTGCATTGCTTATCAGACATACTGAATTATTTTACTGCACCATGCACACAGTTTGTGTATTGCAAATACCTCAAAGTTTCTTTTGGTGTAAATAGTTCCTGATTTAATTTTTGGTTACTTGAGGTATCCTCTCTGTTACTGTTTAATGCTTGGAACTGGAATCTATGAAAATGCTAGTAAGGATTTACTAAAAAAAATTAGGAAGAACTCTCTGCAGTCTTTGCATTTACTTCTTCCTCAAAGTGATGTCCTTTTCAGTGGTCTCTTAGAATTAGTTCTGGGAGATGACTTGAGAAGTGAGCATAAGCTCTGGTTTTAGAATGAGATTCCTTGTGACTTGTACTATTTGGATGTGTAGTTCAGAATTTTGGCTTTAAGACTTTTCATGTTACACAAGTAGTGCATAATTTCAAAAAGGCTTAGTGAAAACAGCAAACCTGGGAAATCATTAACAACAAAGTACTGAAACCATATGGATCCTATAGCATACCTGCAGAATATACTATGTAAATGGCCAGTTTATTTTTGCAATAAACTGTGCTTTTACCCACAGCTGATGTAAAATTACACAGCTCCTTAGTGATTTCTATGTTATTTGAATCATCTTAACATCTCTTGTGTTCAGTTTTACTAAATACATGTATCACATTTTTGTGTTGAAATTCTCTTTTAATGTTGTTTAGAATTTAACCCTTCCTTTATCCCTTCTCTCCTTCCCTCCTCCTACCCACCCCAACTCCATTTTTAGTGGAGAAGGTGAAAGAACAGTTGAAACTCTCTTTGGAAAACAAGAGTGGCATGGTGCAAACAGGTGAACTGACAGTTGTGCTAGATGGTTTGGTTGTTGAACAGGAATCTCTTACAAATCTCAGTTCACCAGCAACCAGTAAGTTAAAATAATTAAATGAGATGGTAATATTTTGATTAAGATTTCAAACAGTTATCATAGAATATTTCTGTTGAATTTGTTTCTTACTGTTCAGTAGAAGTTCAGCAAAATGGCGAGGCTGTGCATGAAAACAGAGATGCTTCAGCAAGAAGTACATCCAGGTTGGAATTTATTTTTGTGTTTTACACTGTATTTTAGTATTTTAGGAAATATATCAATTGAAATGTTTGGGTTTTTTGTGTTCTGTTTTGTTTTGTTGGCTTTTTTAAAATTCTTTTGAGTGGGATAGATTTTTAACTCTGAAGCCCTAAATTCTTGTATGGCTTGTATGATAATTATGTAGTTTACAACACCTGTTATTCCTCTGCTGCTAGAGTCTGCTCTCCACTACTTTATCAGTGCCTCTTGGATGTGTAGCCCTCTGAACGTAAAAATTCAACTGACTGGAGGTCTACTAAATGCTGCAGCAGAGATTAGGGGAGCAGTGGTTCAGTGTGGTTTTGTGTAGTTATTCCGTTTGTTTTCTTCTGCTGTTCAAGAACTATTTCTATTCATGTCTACCAGCTTGTTGCAACGTACCATCTGAATGGAAGAAAGAATTTAAAAAGCCTAAATTACTTCCCCTAACCCAGTTCCTTTTTAAGGTTGCGATCAGGAAGTTGTTTAAGAGACTTGTATTGAGTGTAGGAAACAGCATTCAAAACACTGAGGAGAAGGCTTTGCCTGCTTCAACCTGAAGTTGCAAGGAAGAGGATTTGGGATCAATTTAGAGCTTCAATTCTTGGCTTCTCTGCCTTCATAGCAGCTCAAGGATGGCCTGGATAGAAGTAGGAGTAGATTGTTTGCCCCCTCACCACTTGTGAATCAGATAGCTCAACATTCAGATCAGTTTAATGTTACTAGCCTCCTCAGTTACCTAGCAGTGAACTCCCTTCCATTTATGTTCAGTTTAAGTGAAAAAACATACAGCTGCTGTGTGTTTGAGTGACAAGGACTTATTTGTCCTTGTATGCTCAACTTGATTCCTTCTTTGAATATGTGGAGTTTTGTCTCTCTTCCCCCCATGGGTGCCCAGTATGAAAGAGTGAGGATAAAAAATTTCTTCTCCTTAAAAACGTTTATTTGAAAAGGTTTGAGACTGTTAAAAAGTGATTTGAAACACATCTGCACACCATTTTCAAACAGTAGTAACAGTTATTTGTTTTCATTCAACTGTTGTTGCTGGAGGTGTGGCTTTTACTGGAATCCTGCTCCTGATGTTGATATTTTGATTACAGCAGTTTTCCGTACAACTATCCAGCAGTTTTGATTTACAGTTTTAAAATTAAGAGATGAAGAAGGGTTTTAAGGTAGCTTCTGTGCATGTGTTTAGGAAGCAGATCATGTTTGTAGTCTAGAGTTGAGAAGGGATAATGTTTTAATTCTGTGATTATACTAGTCCTTTGAAGTTGGGTAGCATGGAAATGCTGCTGCTTCCTTTCTTACTCTGCGAAGTGGGACTTCTAACAATTCTCGCTTTTTTGTCATGTGTTTAACTTCTCTCTAATTTTTAGCCTCTACTCTTTGAGAACACGGGGAGTTGGCATTGAATGTAATTTTCACAGTATGTGTCTCTGGTGGGTGGCTTTCAGCATTTTGGGATAGATTTAAGTAAAACCAGTGTAATTGGACAAGACTTACTATTCCCAAGCTCTTACACTGCATTTGTTTCCATGTGGCCTTTTAAACACAGCACAATCTGTGTATATCTGTCCTTAAAATGTCCCATCCTGCCTATGCCTAAAGGTCATCTTACTTTCCTTTTACTGATGGAGAGTTTGGTTACTTTCTTATGTTATGACTAGAATAATTTTGGAGATATGACAAACAAAACCAATTGTTCCACTTACTTGAGAGAAAAAGTTTTCCTGCTCATAGCTGTGCTTTGGAAGGGTCCCTAAGGCAGTTTTGGAAGATGTGTCAGGTACACCTGTCTACCCAACTCAATTCTAATATGTCATTACAAGTAAAAGATGAAGTAGAAATAGATAAATCTTCTGAGTATCTGTAATCCTCAAAACCTGAATTTGCCTTTTTGTTCCTTAATTGTTTGATCTTGCACAGCCTTCTAGGCTGCAGATAGGACGTTATAAAGTGTGTGAATTTAATTCCATTTCTTTATTTGTCAGCATCATTTAGTGTAGGATTTGGTTTAGTTGCTTAACTCTTTAACATGTTTCTTGTAGAAATCTGAAATGATATTTTATTTTTACCAAGATCTCCTTGTGACATTTCTAATGGGATAGACAATCAAGTACCTTCCAACTCGGTAGTACAGAATGTGTTCTGTATAGAAGCTGTTAATGGAGACAGCACACCATCTCCTACCCACGTTGCAGCCAGACCCAAAAATACACCAGTACCAAAACCACTTGCAGCTCAGCCTGTCAACAGCACTGGTAAGAATGGGAAAATTATGAGAACATGTTCCATAAGACTTTTTTATGTGTTTGTAATGTATTTGAAGTTGAGCCACTTTTTCTGTACTTTTTTTTGTTGTAGATTTCAAAAATACCGAAACGATGTTTCTGGGCTTGAATTTATAATCTTGTGTGTCCACTTCTGTGCATTTTTCTGGAGTAGATCCATTCTTAAGTTTACTAACTTTCATTCCTTCCCATCAGTTCTCATCAGCTATAAAGCATCCAAAACTATAGTATCTTTGTCCCAGATTACTGCACCATATGACTATTTGTCTGGAAGAATAATCAGATTTCTTTCACAATTAATTTGAGTAACTATAGTTAAGGTTCTTTTGCCATTAGATAAACCTGATTTTTAGTGCTGTCAGGGAACTGTTGTGCTCTGAGTTGAGGTGTTGCATGCTTTCCTTGCCTTCCCTTCTTTGCAAAGGGTATACTGTTTCTAAACAGGTAGTGGCAAATACTAAGTTTCATTTTCCTCTTAAACGCAGAAACTTTGATGGCAAGTACAAGTAACATTCAGCACAGTAAAACAAGTGAAAAGAAAGTATTTTTAAGTTTTTGTTCCTCTCCAAAACTTTGCATCTAATAATGACTGCTTAGAAAGCACTTTCTGCCTTTTCTCAACTGCTTGAGAGAGATTACAGTGATAGCAGAGGAAAAAGATAACCTTAAATAGAAATAGGCAAGCTGTTAATAAACAGTAGAACAGAGACTGTCAAACTTTCTGTAATAGCGTGTGAAATGTGGATTTTGTGGGAAGATAGCAGAAACTATTATGAACTTTAAAAGGTAATAATTAAATTAGGCCTTCTCTGAAGCTTTTTTCTGTTTGAAGAACTTGAATTTGATTCCCCTCTTTTCAGTTGAAAGCCAGAGGGCACATATATTATTTAGGCATTGCTCCCTTTTTCTTCAGTAACAGAGAGATCCATTTGAAATCTATATTACGATAGGGTAATTGCAAAAATAATTGATTTGTTCAAATAGTAATATTGATGAAATCACTGAGCTTGCACTGAAGTGCTGATGTAACGGTTTTCAGCTACTGTACCAGTTGGTGGAGGCTTCTAAGGCAAGGCATAAAACAAGTCTCCAGCATTTGTTGATGACAGACTTTTGTTTTTTCCCCCACTGTTGTGCTTAGCGGGATTGTAATTTCAGGTGATGTTGCCAGAATTGCTGTTTAAGATCTAATTGGTGAGGTAATTGGCTGATGTAATGTTTTATAGATCTGTTTTCGAGATCAGCTAACTAAAAGAGCTGGTGATTTGTCAGTTATTTTGCTTCTAACTTTGTTGTGTAATCCCATTCACTCTTTCATGTGAATGAACCAAATGGGTTTTTTTTAATGAAAGCTGAAATTTCAGCTGGCTTTTTTCCTACTGAAGTAAAATTGCTGCTAGGTAAAGCAGAACTTCAAAGAAACTTGATCAGATTGTCTGTAGTTGAGCTTTGTTTTTAATGTCGTGCTTTACATTTGCTTGAAATAATGCAATGTCTTGGCATGTCTTAATGTAGCTAACCTGTTTTGTGAGAGCTGGAAGTAGTGATGCATTACCTTGGAACAGTTGTGTTCAAAAAGCAATACCTTTACAGATCTTACGAATCTGCTGCTGCCTGTAAAATCATGCTTATCATTAACCGTATCAAGAAAATATGTATGGCTTAGTGATAACTGCTTAAAGAAACTGACTCACTGATTTAAATACATTGCTGATGACTGCCTTGTTTCGTAATTCTTTGACCTGCTTTTCTGACCACCTGTGAAAGCAAGAAGTTGCTGACATTGCATATATATTGCAAGTAGTAAGTAGAATCCAGCTGTTTTTTTATTTGTGAGGGAGTTATATCGAATTAAAGTAAATGAACTCCTTAAAATGATGGAACAGCATTTTATAAGCACTAGTCTAAGGTTAAATTTTCCAAATCTGTGGCAATAAGGTTATGAGTATAGAACAGTTGGATTAGCCTCAGTCCTTAGAATTGTAAGCTGATAGTGTGCTGTTAGATTGAAAATTACTTCACGTCTGCGTTGCATTTTGTATTAAGTCTTGTAGAAAAATTGTTCCAACTCTAGAATAGGTACAGACTGATGAGTTTAAATAGAATTGTCACTGTCTGGTGTTGATTAGTGGTGCAGCAAATGAAAGCTGTGAATGATGTTCACAGAGAAGGCTCTGGTGACACCTTATAGTGGTCTTCCAGTACCTGAAGGGGGCATACAGGAAAGCTGGGGAGGGATCCGTTTACAAGGGCAGGTAGTGATAGGACATGGGGTAATGGCTTTAAACTGGGAGGGGCTAGATTTAGATTAGACATTAGGAAGAAATTCTTGACTGTGAGGGCTGTGAGACACTGGCATAGGTTACCCGGAGAAGCTGTGGATGCCCCCTCCCTGGAAGTGTTCAAGGCCAGGTTGGACAGGGCTTTGGGCAACCTGGTGTGGTGGGAAGTGTCCCTGTCCATGGCAGGGGGTTGGACTGGATGATCTTTAAGGTACCTTCCAACCCAGACCACTCTGTGATTCTGTGTTTAGGGCCTTTTAACGGAGTTCCTACTGACTGCCATACCTGATTTCTCTTGTCTAAGGCAAGATGTTGTGCTGAGATGCTGCTCTCTAAAGCTCTGCAGATGATTGGTATTGATGTATTGTTGGTCAGGTGGGCTTGGAAGTAATAAAGCCTTCTTAGCCCCCTTTTCCTGCTAAATCCATGCTTACTTTAAACCTTTTATGATGAGATTATGCTTGCTTGAGTTTTTTTCCTGTGTGACCTAGTCTAGGTGATCCTGCTCTGGCAGGGGGGTTGGACTGGATGATCTTTCGAGGTCCCTTCCAACTCCTAATATTCTGTTATTCTGTGTTCCTGTGAGTTTGATGGCATTTGTAGTGCTCTTTAAAATAGAAAAATGGATTTACTTTGCGATTCTAAAATAATTTTCTTCAGTCATTGAACTACATAAGTTAAATTAGCCAAATACTCATTTTTATATTTTAATCCTGCTTTTGGAGGGGTTTTTTTCCCAAGTCACAGCCAGGTGTTTTTTGTTTAATTGGAGGATCCTGTACCTCAGCTCTGAAAACAGAAAAAAAATTAAATCTGTAGGAACTGCCTCTCATTTTTTTGTATTTCATGATATTATTTATCCTTTAGTATTTTTCTTTAGTATCATACCAGTCCATATTCTTTTTTGAAGTTGATGTAAGTTCAGAGTTTCAAAGTGAATAAAGTACTGTTTTCTGGAAAGCAGATGGGTACTTTTTGCTAATCTAAAGAGTAAGGTATAACATTGAGTTGACCAAATATATGCAGGATCTAAGAAATTAACTTAGCAGAGAATGGCTTGCAGACTGTAAGTTTTAATTACAGCTCTAACTGAGGCAGATGCATCATGACATTTTGCCATCTTAAACAAAAATGCTGCTTATAGCATATAGGTGTGACTGAAACATATTCCTTCTATGTCATTTACTTCAAAAGTTGGTCATTTGAAAAGTAAATCTCACCATATTCTGATGCACACGTGTTCTTATTTGCAATTTCTCAGTTAATGGCGAGTCATCCGCCTCTGCACCAGAAGCTGGTAATTCTTCTGTGTCTGAGGCTCCGGCAGGTTCAGTCGAAGCTCCCTCATCTTCAGATTGCACTAGCACTACAACAGAACCTCAGACCACAGCAGAAGCAAGTGGTTCCTCTGAAGGCCACACTTCTACATCACCTGTTGTGTCTGCTGGACTGGAATCTACAGCTGCAACAGACTGTGCGCAGCCTAATGCTAGGAACAGTACAGCAGCAGATGCAGCAAAACCAAGGGAATCGTCCACCACCTCAAGTGCATCTGCAGAACCTGTAAGACAGCAGCCTGGTAATGCCAGCACAGAACCTTTGCCACCAGGGTATGTGGTCTTGATTTTAATGCTATAATCTGTTTATAATGTTTCCGTCTGAACATGCATATGAAAAAACCAAAAATTTAATTCTATACTGGGATTGCCAAATGCAAGTCAGTTAGCTGAGATGGGGTTATTTAGTCTAAAATGGGGTTTTCACTGCTGCTGTAACTGGCTAGGAGCTCTTGTCCCAGAAACTGACTTGCTGAGACGGTATTGTGATCTAAACAGACAAACTCTTGGGCATTATGGATGTGAAGACTTTTCATTTGATATAGTCAAAATTATTTGGGTCATAATTTGGTACCCGATTGGCTCTTAAACTATGAGAATGCAGTAGGGACCAAAATACAGAGAAATGAAAATGAATGAAATAATCTAGAAATACTTCTGGGTGCTTGCAGTGTAACAATAATGTTATAGATAAAAATACAGATTTGAAGTGTATGTATGTGCTCTGAACAGCTAGAAACTTTTAACCTAGTAGGTTGCTAAAAAACTTACTTGTGTAGTCCTAAACCTAAAGGTAAAGATGTGGTTAGATATTTAATGAAAATATAGTACCTGCTCAAATACATGTATTGATCTTAAAATTTTTCTATAGATGCTTTCATGTTTGGGTGAAAAGATGTCTTCAGTAACTAACTGAAAATACAGACATTTCTGTAATGTACTAAATATTAACTATTTTAGCATTTTCCGCGCACAGAAATTGTTTTTTGCCCAAAGAGTATATACTTGAGTCATTGTAGCTGGTCTTTCAGAGGGCCTGTCTTGTACCTGCTCCCTCTGAAGGAGGTTCAGTAAGTTATAAGTGACACTTCACTTGAGTTTCTGCAGTTGGATAAACATGAAAGCAAGCATCTAAAAAGACAGAAATATTGTATTTATGTTGTTGGGAAGACTTAATAAGTTTTTAATATTCAGATGCTTTGATAGTGCAAGCTCTTTATCGTCCCCCCTCCAAGCACACTTTTTAAAAAAAGTTAGTTACGTGCTTTCCCATTGGGATAGTTGTTCCAGGCATAGTGCACACTGTAGCCAATGCATTTCTTCATCATTTCTCCCTGATATAGTTTCCGTGGGTTTTGTGGTTCTTTTGGGTTTTGTTTGTTTGTTTTGTGGTTCCCTGCCCCTTCCCCCCAAATCTAGTTGAGTTTCCATTATGTTTAGCCCTATCAACTCTATAACATGATGCTGCTCCACTCTTACCTCCTTGTAATCCTGGCATTTAATCTCTTGAACCACAGAAAACATTTTGTAGGAGTTTTACTGGATACTCTGCTAGCCAGGAAATGCACATGAAATCCTATGAGTAGCAGACAAGGTGTTCTGCCTACATTTTTAGGAGCTAATTAATTATGTATATAAGAAAACCAAGCATATATCTAATACAAGCAAAGGCTTCAGCTTTTTGTCTAACATTTATCCTGGTTTCCTCTCCCATTTATAAATACTTTTATTGCATTATGTCAGTTCTCAGCAGCGTGAAGCTTCAATTATTTATAATGTTTGATCCTCTCTTCATCTTCAGTGTAAGTTTGCTTTGCAAATAAAACTGAAGAAATAATCCCCAGGGATATGAGAGAGAGAAATTAGCAGGATAGGAAATAGAAACACAGGAAAGCACACATTTCAGGTTCACTTTGAAAGATCCTGTTGTTTTTTTGATATAGGGTATGGTGCTTCAAAAGGTAAACTTTTCTTTTGTGAGAGGCATGTGCTTCGGAATGCAAAGCATGTGTCTCTAAACGCTTCTGAATGAGGTTATTTTAGCATCTAAGACTTGATCAGATAATTAATGTACTTGGTTTTCAGATACCTTAAATAGAATTTGAAAATTACTGTGAATATTGATGTATGCTCATTTTATGTACCAAGATAAGTATTCTAGTGTGACTTCTCTTTGGGATTTTAGAATGAGTTTTGGATCATAGTATTTTCATTCAATACCAAGGTACTTTTTTGGCTTAGTGGAAAATAAGTCCAGAGGAAGCATTTTCACCCTGACTTAGGTGAAAGTTTTTTTGTCTTGAAGGTGGGAACAAAGAAAGGATCCTCATGGTAGAACCTATTATGTTGATCACAACACACGAACTACAACATGGGAAAGACCACAGCCTTTACCTCCTGGGTAATGTAGACTTTTCTGATTTAAAAAGGATAAAAGTACTATTTTTTTTGTTTGTTTGTTTGTTTGGTGCAGGAAAAAGTACCAGCTTTAATAAGCAGCTCATTGAAACTGTATCATACATCATATATTAAGATGTTCTAGCTTTCAGTTAATTTAGAATTCTATTAATTGCAGCTATCGTTACAAGAGTGTTGGTACTGTATATACTGCTTGCTCTGATCACTTGTTCAAATATGGTTACGAAATTATTTTGTTCCTTTAAAACTTAAGCATAAATGATACTTGTTTGACGACCTTTATTTAGGGTGACACCGCTTGGTGTAGTGCACTGGTTCCAAACCTCAGATTTCCAGGCAAATTGTTTTCTGTGAAACCTGACAACATTGCTTATGGTCACAGGAATTAACAAAGTTAAAAATGAGGTGATGGAGAGCTGAGCATGCTATTGCTTGAAGTCTCTGCTTATTGTGGTTGTCGTTCTGCCAATGAAGTTGGGGAGTACTTTTGTATACTTTAGAAACTAAAATCATGCCTGTGACTCCAGTACTTCATTCAAGGAAGTAAAAAAATCTAGGAATTTAACATAAAGAGAAAATGAGTTATGTAATGTTACTGAAAAATTTAGCTACTAACATTTGTCTGTCTTGAAAGCTGGGAAAGAAGAGTTGATGATCGTGGGAGGGTTTACTATGTGGACCACAACACCAGAACAACAACGTGGCAGCGACCAACAATGGAATCAGTGAGGAACTTTGAGCAATGGCAGTCGCAACGGAATCAACTGCAGGGAGCTATGCAACAATTCAACCAACGATACCTCTATTCGGTAACTTCTACATAAAATTTTAAAATAAGTAGAGAGGTGTTAGGCATACATTTTGTTCTTTAACCTTTTCTGAAGTTATTTCATAACTATTCAACCGTATGTGTTACAAGACATTTGACATCAGTTTTTCAGATTCCTATTATGTTGAAAAATGTTAACAAAAATCGTCCTTAAAGGCAAAAAGTACTCCTTTCTGAGTCTTTTCCCTAATTTGAGCCTTGTGTACTGCATGATACTTAAGACTTTTAATGACAGTAAGAAGTAAATCTAAAGCAGTCCCTTAACCGAAAAGGAACGTAAAAGCTGTTATGGGCACTTTGAACATGTTTTAGTGGTTAAGAGTAATTCATTATTACAGGAGGCAATTCTTTTACTTTCAGCTTACTTTGAAGCTTATGCACCTGGTTAAGCTCTGGAATTTCCTACGTGATTTTGCCATTTTTCTCATATAGTTGCTCACTTTCTTCTACCTGAAGAAAATATCATGAGTACCCTCAAAGAAGATTATTTCTTGAGACGAATTTTTCCATCTGTTACTGGATAAATAGCATAGTTGCTTTTTTCAGAGTTAAGAATGACAGTGTCTGCATGTTACTGTCACTCTAAAAAGTCCATTTTAAGAATTGTGTTTGGTCTCAAAAAAAGATCCAATCCCAGAGACTTTGTAAGTGATATGTAGCAAAGCTGGAGTGTTTTACAGAAGAAACCATTGAAGTAAATATTTGAAACAGCTTCATGGACTAGGACTCTATGCGTCCACAGACCTAACTTTGCCTTGAATATGATGTTTATTCAAGTACCCTTCTGAAGTAAAGGGTGCTGCAGTATTCTTATATTTGACAATTCTCAGCTTCTCATTTCCCGATTAGACATTATAGTTCGTCACTAGCAGTAGGAGAAACATGCATCACGACATTTTCTTAACTCCTGGAGCTGAGCATCAAAGTCAATTTATGTTATGCAATTAGAGAAAGATAGTATGGTTGAGGTTGACAGGGACCTCTGGAGCTCATCTGGTCCAACCACCCTGCTCAGACAGGGCCACCTAGAGCCAGTTGCACAGGACCACGTGCAGACATCTTTAAATACCTTCAAGGATGGAGACTCCACAACCTCCATGGGCAACTTGTGCCAGTGCTTGATCACCCTCACAGTGAAAAAGTGCTTCCTGATGTTGAGAGGGAACCTCCTGTTTTAGTGTGTGCCCATTGCCTCTGGTCTTGGCGCTGGGTACCACTAGAAACATCTAGGCTCTGTCCTTTTTGCTCCCTTCCTTCAGGTATTTAAACACATTGGTAATTTTTTATGCAAATCCAAGAATCATAAGTGAAACATTGCCATTAGCTCTCACTGAGCAACTCTTTTTACTTGTGTACTACTTTGATCAGTTACTTAAACATCTAAGAAAGCTCTAACTTTTCCTAATCCTAAGATGTATTTTGTTTTGAGCTAGATTTATTCTCTCAGGGAACAATGTGTTTTGTAAATTACATGATGTTCCTTTCTTCATTTAATGGTAACTCTTACTGAAAACCACAGACTCATTTCTTGAAATGTCTTGTCTGACTTTAAAATCATTAAATTAGGATTTGTTTGTGAGACACAATATACTTGAAGGAAGAGAAAATTTAACTTGACTCTTTTGCTTCTCTTTAGAATTTTGTTTTCTAAGTAGCGTATCAGGTGCATACCTAGAACTCACATTTTGCTGGGGGAAAAAATTGAAATTATGTTGAAAAAGGTTTTTTATTTTAGTGCTGCTGTATGCTTTTCTTCTAGAATTGTTAAGGTCAAACTACAACTAACTTTTCCTTCTCTGGTGTCATACCAGTACTCTACCCATATAGCAGTTTATAAGTGAGAGTATAATTTATTTTTTGGTAAAAAGCGAATTAATAATTTTAATGAGTACAAGAATGTTTCAGTTACCTTGAATGGTCAAAGCTGAGCTATATGGAGAAAAATGGATAAGCTATAGTTACTTTAGTTGCTTCTATTCTTACCTGGGTTAATATATTGTACTCCTTTTGGTATTGAATTTGGCTCATCTCATGCCACTGCCTAGTGTGGCATGAGATGAGCCAAATTCAAACACAGTGTTCTGTTAAATAGACATTAGCCAGCAGCCACACACAAATCCATTAAAAAGATTGGAAATCTCTGAATTGTGCCACCATTCAGTTCTCTGGCAGACAGCATTTTCTGTTTGCTGTTCTGTTTATGCTCACCACAGAGAAGACTTTGGTTACAGGGTCGTTGTGACTGTATAGTTTTCAAAAGCAGAGAAGGCTGACTGCATTTGCTGCTGAGATAATGATAATTCTCTTCACATGTAGGAGCCGGTGGCCAGAACAAAGAGGCAGCTTGTTTTTGAGTGTAACTATTGCATCTTCTTCTGATCTTTGCTCTGTTTCTGTTTCACGGGAAAAATATTGTAGCTTTTGTTGGCTGAATTTGCTGTTTTAAACCCCTAAGGGGATTTGAGATTTTTAGATTGCAGATGCTATATAAAGCAATATTAGTAGCAAAGTGATCCTTAAGATACTTTTTGAAAAAAGTAGGTTGTTTCTCATATATCAAAATGTCATTCTGTACAAAAAAAAACCCCAAACAAACGAGCCAAAAGAAACATAAAAACATTTTAGGGAGTGGATACTTTTAGTTATAAATCAGAGCATGGATCCTGCAGCCTGGGGGATTTCTGCATTTTACGTTTTATTTTTTCCCATGCTTGGGCAGCTGGGAGCTGCTGGGGAACTTCTGCAAGGTTACAGTATATTACAAACTTACCATGGTTTTACATATAATCTGTTTCTTTTACTTACTTATTTTCCTTTTAACCTTACAGTATGCTGGTATAATTTTAACCATCCACATATTTTAATGAATGCAGCTGCATTTGCAAAGAATGACAAAGTCTGAAAATAGCCAAACATGCAGGAAAGACATCACGTATTGAGGAAGCAAAAAACCTTATGTTAGCAATACTCACTGTGCTTGGAAATGTTTATTGTAGTAAAGCACGTTCTTAAGCAAGAACATTGTGCTTATCTGTTATACATGCTTCCGCAAAACTTCTGTGAACTGTACATTTTTAAGACCACTGACTCTCAAGTTTGATTGTAGGAAGGGAAAGGGAGGGTAGCTTGGGTTGTAAACAGTGGAGGCAAGTGCACAGATCATCTCTTATTATCATATGACCTATGTTCTTCACAAAAACAGACTAAAAATGCCATGATGTTTTTTCAGAATGGGTAGACTTCAGAACTAGTCGTAATCTTAAAGCACATTAAGGAAAAAATACAACTAATATTTGGCCTAACTGAATGTCCTCTTGTTTCTAAATAGGCTTCAATGTTGTCAGCAGAAAATGATCCACTTGGGCCTTTACCACCAGGTTGGGGTAAGTTAATTAGCTGTTCATTTCAAGAAATGGAGTTTAAGAAATTTGGAGTGCAATTGGTGTATAGTGGGTTTTTTAATTCTTTTTTTTCCCTAGAAAGGAGAGTGGATTCGAATGATAGGGTGTATTTTGTAAATCATAACACAAAGACAACGCAGTGGGAAGACCCTCGAACTCAAGGGTAGGTGTGTATATTGACTGTGCAGATTAAAAGATCTTGCTTAGTTCTTATATGTCATGATATGGGGGAAAAAAGTACTGTCTGCAATCTCTTCTGCAGTTTACAAAATGAGGACCCTCTTCCAGAGGGCTGGGAAATCAGATACACCAGAGAAGGTGTCAGATACTTTGTTGACCATAATACAAGAACCACCACCTTCAATGATCCTCGTACTGGGAAATCTTCTGTGTAAGTGACAAATTAAATACTTTTTTTTAAGTTTTAACTTGTTATAGTTTAATAATGAAGTCTTCTTATGCTAGAAGACAATCTGTACTTTTAGGTGGAATTGAGCACTAAATTATGAACAAATTTTTGTCCTGTACATTTAATCTATTTTTAAACTTTATCTGATAGTTTTAATATACTTTTAAAATAAACAAGACTGTAATTGTTTTATAAGTAAAAAGGGAAAGTGAAGTAAACTTGAATACTAAACTAATGTAGCTAATGCTTAAATTTTTAAAGAAACAGCAAATGATTGTAATGAATACTGCTTATAGTTATACACCCTCTAGCAGTGTTAATGTCTTAACAAAGTCATTTTAAATTTCAAAAATTCTATGTGCAAACTTTTTGACAATAGTTAAGTCTGAAATACTGACCCAACCTGCAGTGGCTCTCTTAATGTCTTTTCTGTAGGGTAGGGTTTACTTCTGATGATGTGTTGATGGCCCTTCATTCAAAGAGCCTGTAGAATATTGTACTAGACATTCCTTCATGGTTCTGCAAGCAGCTGAATTTATGAAGCCTAATTTAGCAGTCTTCCTCTCAGTGAACAAGAAAGGAACAGCAGATGAGATGTCTCTCCTTTAGCTGGCTTGTAATGTTTACAAGATTGAAAGGGATATGAAATCCTCTAGATTTCTGCTTTTTTCTTAAAGTTGGTAAATTGACTAGCATCTTAAACAACAAAAAAAGGGGGGATGTGGAGGATGGAAGACCATCTGACTAAACCACCAACTGCATTTTGTTTCTGATCATATCTTACAGTAACAATTTTTGTGTATTTTTGAAATCTACATGCTATTGTTTAGTATTGAAACTACTGTTGGATGTCTGTATGGTTAATGTGTCTCAAATATATTTCCTTGCAGAAATAAAGGGCCACAGATTGCTTATGAGCGTAGCTTTAGGTGGAAACTTGCTCATTTCCGTTACTTGTGTCAGGTACTGATTAAGTAATTATTTACTTTTTGAAACGATTTGAATTTACACTTATATGTGCTGCCTTTTAACATTATTGCCTTATGATTACAGTCCAATGCACTGCCAAGTCATGTGAAAATCAATGTGTCCAGACAGACTTTGTTTGAGGATTCCTTCCAGCAAGTAAGCCTCCAATGATTGCTGTGTTTGTTTATCAAGACAAAGCATAAGAACAAATTTGGGCATAGCCAGTTCAGACTGATGGTCCTTCAGGCACAGTAATCTTCCACTGGTATTAGCCAAAGAAGGATTCTTAGGGAAGATCGTAAGAACAGAAGTAATGTATACAGTACTTTTAGCAAATGGTCTTTCAGCTCCAGACTGTTTACAGTTGAAGTGCTTCTTGAGCTTGATGTGGTTTCTGGGTATTTAATAATCCTCAAGGGACTTCTCTTCTGTGCGCTTGTCTGTGCTGCTCTTGTGAACTTTCTGCAACTACAACATCCTGTGGTAAAGAGTTCCACAGCTTAACCACATTGCATACCATATTAGCTTAACCACGTCAGATTTGCTTTTCTGATTCTTGTGTGTGGTTATATGCATCACAAAATCTTGTTTTATCCAATTAAAACTGGTATCCTGCTTTGTCCTTCAAACGTTAAGTCTGTGTAATAGAAGTTTACAGTTCTTGAGCTGTTGCAGTCTGCAGCCAATGTGTGTTCCTTGCTTATTTCTCTGTAACAATAAAAATTCTTGCTGCTGTCACCACATCAATACCTCTTGAGAGGGATTCTCTGTAAGTAAAAAGATTATTCTTAATGAAAGTATATTACACTTACTTTAGATTACATTACTTTTTAAGTGATTTGCCTAAAATGAAAAATCTGTGATACATCGGATGAAATACATTTTTGCCTGTTTTCCTTTAATGATAAAGCATGCCTTAGGAAGAGTGTAAGAACAGGGCAGCCATATAGTGATACTTTCCAGATATGCTCTCCCACTTGCTAGCAGTCTGCTGCTCAAGGATTTTAAGTCTGAGTTGGTATTTTTGTATGCAGTTCATTGACTGCATGTTCCTTGACTTGGTCTGATTGCTTGCCAAATCTCTTTAAACATTTGACATATATGGCATCTCTGTATCAATTAAATAACATCTGAATAAGAAGGAGTGATTGTGTTGACAATGTATAATTTATAACTTACTGCAATTTTTGGTGTTTTTTGATAGATTATGGCATTAAAACCCTATGATTTGAGGAGAAGATTATATGTTATATTTAGAGGAGAAGAAGGATTGGATTATGGTGGCTTGGCAAGGTAAAAAAAAATGTTTAAAATAGTTTTTATTTTTTTAATTTCATTCTGTTGGCAACGAAACTGCTTGCTTTTGCAGTCTGACCCTAGTTACCTTTTTAGCTCCTCTTAATCTATTAAGGAGGTGAAACTGGCAGCACTGGTAATTGTCAAAGAACTGAACAACTGAGACGTACGTTTTACTTATGCAAGGTTATAACCCATAACAAAGATTGATACTTAAATTGAAATTTTTTAATGCCAGTTAATTGCTCTAGGCTGTGTTATTCGAGAGGAGAGTAGTGCAGGCATGAGGTGTAGCAGCAGATGAGCAGGCTAAGTAGGCTGCACAGGAATGCGGAACAGCTAGACTACAAGTTTTTCTAGAATCTGAAGTGTAATTTGGAGGGAAAAGATGGTAACAGGAAAAACATAGACGAAGTGTGTTTCACCTGTTGACCATACAGAAGCAAGCACTGACTACTGCTGCCTTTTACTTGACTGAAATGTTACTATTAGGATGAAAATTTCAGTACTACTGCAGACCTAGGGAATTAGAAGTAGTCAGATGATAGAATTTTTCCTGTTTCGTTGGTTGCTTGGTTTTTTTTTATGTAAAGGTTTTCTGTTTTGGTTTTGTTGTGGTTTTATGTACCTTACTGTGTTAAAATGAAGTTCAGTGAAAATATGTAGTATTTTTAAGTAAGGAAGCCTGGCTTTGAAGGTTGAGCTTCTTTGGAAATGTGGGTGGTTATGCTTCTGAACTGCAGTCTGATAGGCTTTTGGGGAGTGACTGCAGGGAGGAATCCAATTTTTGCTCTGCATGGTTTTGTTTGGTTGATGTCCCTGCCATGATGGCCCTAGGCGCAGGATGGGAACCACGAGAGTTTGAGTAGTCTGTTCCAGAGAAAAAAAGTATTCGGAAGAAGTGGTGTTAGAATAATTTAACTGAAGAGTGTTAATCACAGAAAGTAGCAGAATAAATAACTAACAAATATATGAATTGTATAATTTTATAGTTTTAGGAATAAGTCTTGCCCAAGATTTTGAAATTGAGGAGCAGTACAGATCTTACTGTAACTTGAGCTGAGAATTTTTAAGTTACACTGAGTAAATGTTCATGTACTGATTTGCTTATGTAAAATTGGATTAATACAAACATAGAAAGCTGATGCTCCTGATTTATCAGCTGTCTCTCAGCAGGCTAAACTCAGTGTTCCCTCCAGATTTTTACCTTGTGTTTAGCAGGACCAGTCTGACACTATGTCCTGTGACTAGTTCTAGCTGTTGGGAAAAATTCATTGCTTCTGCAAACTTGTTAATGGCTGATTTCTTCGATTCCTCCTTTGTTTTCTGGCTTTGGTCTAATTCAAATGCCTATTAAATTTGATGCTTCTATGCAGAGTTAATATAATTATCTCAGCATAAAACTTGCATAGGATGCTGTACAACATTCTCATGCTTATTAGAAGATACGCAGAACCCCATTAGGATTATCATATCCTAGCTGCCTTTTGCCATTTACTCTTTCTGCTTGGCCTTTGGGTTGTAAGTGTATTGTAGTGAATCATGATCCATGATAGTGTTCCTGCTCATGGCAGGGGGTTTGGACCAGATAATCGTTAAGATCCCTTCCAACCCAAACCATTCTGTGATTCATAGAACTGTTAGGAGAAACATGCCAGCAAACCTCTCATTTCTGTTTCCTATCTTAGGGAAATATAGAGATAGAAAAGATACCTCTTAAATGTGGCAACTGAAAGGCAGTCAGGGTGAAATTCAGTCCCTGCAGTTATAGGAGAGACTTTTAGCTTTTTTTGTGGCTGTTCCCTCAGCCTCGTTTGTTCACTTCCAAGCATTGAGGGCCTGATACAAAAGCTCCTGAGTGTATGTGACTGCATTTGAGGTCTCTGATTATATACAACTAGCGTAAAGCAACAATTATTCTAAAAATGAGCTATCGTAACACTGAAACACCAGATTCGACTATTATTTCAGGTCAGCTGAAAGTGGTGAATAACATGTATTAGTTAAACCTCAACAAAATTATATTTTCACATTGTCGGGTCCTGTGGGCTTAACTGATGCATGGTAATTTGTTAAACCACAGTAACTCAGTGTGTGTTCTGCTGTCAGACTGGGAAAGCAAATGAGATGTGCTGTGGTTTGGGGGTTTGTTTTGTTTTGTTTTGTTTTATCTAGGTTGTTTATAATAAGGACTGCCCATGGAATAATCTGTAGTTTTTCTGAATAAAGGTTTCAGTTGTATGCAGTAAAGCGGCATGAGGAGGATAAATACTGGGTATAGGTTGAGTCAAGGACTGTGCAGGCAAAAATGTTACTAATGTGCAGCTAAAATGTGTGCTATAAGGGTGTGTTCAAGTGACAATCTTAATATTTGTCTCTAAATTTTGGATACCATGACTTTCTAACATTATTGTTTTTAATAATGATGTCTTTATATTTAAGAAGTATATAATGCATATATTATTCTGTGATTCTAAGACAATACTGCTTATATTATTTTTCTAAGTTTGCATCTAATTTGACCATTGTGCTAGTTACCTAAGGGGAATGGTGATAAACATCTGTATTTGATGGTTTTTATGTGTATACATGTTTTTTTTTTCCTTAGAGAATGGTTTTTCTTGCTTTCCCATGAAGTACTGAACCCTATGTACTGCCTATTTGAATATGCTGGCAAGAGCAACTATTGCCTGCAGATAAATCCAGCATCAACAATCAATCCTGATCATCTTTCATATTTCTGTTTCATTGGGCGCTTTATTGCCATGGTAGGTTAGATTTTTAAGCTTTTATTATTTGCTGTAGCCATACATTTATTCCTGAACAGTGTTTGTTGTTACAGTTGTTACAGGTTATATTAATCTCTTAGAAATGGAAGAATAAGGCATGTAAGGTTATTGAGCCAAAACATTCCCTGAGAGTTAAGTCTCTTACACACTCCAGTTTCATAGTGATGGAAGTTAATATGACATTCAATATAATATTTTATTTTTATCAGTTGGATGTATGTACTTCATGCACACTGCTGTTTGATTGAATGTCTGAATACTGATGCTCTGAAAAATGTGACTAGCATTTTCTGAAGAAGGCTCCTCAGTTAGACTTTGTATACCTTACTGTATGAGAAAAAATGAGTTGGAAATGTTCTGCAGAGTAGAGTGAGCCTAGATTTAAATGTGCGCACATGGATACAAAGGCTAGATACTGAGGAGAGCAGAAGCTGGCAGAGAGCTGATTCTCTGCTGTCAGGTTTCTTTTAAACTCAAATCTGACCAGCTGTGTTGTATCATTTTTTCTTCTGGTACCACCCAGTCTGTTTTCTGTAGTGGCCTCCTGTTGTGTCACATTTCTTTCCTTCCATGTAATGATACAGTCATCCTTCCACATAATCATCATGGTGTCTTCAGGTAGCCCTCAGCAACCTCCCTGAACATAGTGAATATGAAACCAAAAACAGTAGATAGCAGTGCATTTTCAGATTGCAGAGACTGTCGTCCTGTCCTGTTGTTCAGGCTTTTTGTATGAAATTAGAATAAATACAAGCAAAGTGTAACATAAGTGGAAAAATACCTTCAGATTTCAAATAAGTTAGGTTTGGGAGATTTCTTGGTTTTGCTTTTCTTACAGATGCTTCTCGAGAAACAAATTTGTTCAATTTTGATGATAACATGTCTCATTTTGAGGATTTTGTGGCCCAGTTCCCCATTTGTGTGCTGTCACGGACATTTATTTAATTGGGTTAAGACTTTCAATAGGCTCCCAACTTTTTTCTTTCTTCTAGAACCCTCAACAAGCTGTAATACCATTTAGCAGGAGGACATGATAAAAGCCAGTTAGGTGCTAGAGCTGAATATTCTCTTTCCTTTAGTTGCTGATTTTTGATCTTGCATGTAAGATAAAACCATAAATTAAATGTTAACTTCAGGAAAACAACCTCATAATAGTACAGATCATAGAAAAGAACTTAATTAAAGTAATTAATTTCATTAAAAGACCAACTTTTTGTTCCTGAAGTATTTTTGTATTTCTATTTGTGGTCGATTGTAAGGTTTGAGTATATTCATGGTTCAAAGAGGATGACACTTCCTGCAGCACTTCTGGGATACCCTCTAGTGGCTTAAAACACTGGGAATCATTATAAGGAGTCTCGATAGGCTTTTTAAGTGCAGTTGTAGTTTCTGTCCTTCTCATACATCTAAAATAGTTGTGATTTTCAGGTCATAAAGACTTCTTTTGGTTTTGAGTACTGAAATAACCACAGATGTTTTCAACTGAAATGGAGTTAAATATAGAGAATACACATCTTGCTCTGTGACAAAACGCTGTTATGAGGTTGGCTGAGGCAACTTTTATGTTTTTCTCTAAGATTCTCAAAGACAGTAAATGAGATTATTAAAGAGCTTACTTTTGCAAAGAGCAGGAAGTTGTATGGTTGGGTGTTGCACTTGACATTTAATTTTTCTGCTTCTATCAGCTTGCTCTCCCATAGAAGTATAAACCAGTTTAAAAATAAAAACATGTGTGTGTGTGATACTATATTCAGTACTAGAAATTAGCTTACAGGATTTGCACACATGTGGTAAGACAAGTGTGGGGCTTTGTTTTTTCAATTTTATTTTTGCAGTAGAAGGAAGAAACTAATTTCTTAGTTCTATTGATCACTTGCTAAAAATGTGATTTCCAAGGTTTTTTCCTAAGCATTCTGTGATTGCATTTTAAAACTGTTCTTTACAAGCTGCAGTAGCACTGTGAAAAGGGTGATTTTGCAGGATATATGGATGTTCTCAAAAAATAGCAGTAGTAGTCAAGTAGGATCAATATTATGATCAAGTAGTATTAAATAACACTTGGCATATATATTTATCCACATAATAAAGAGAAAACATAGTAATTTCTTCTTTTCATAGACTTAATAATTTTATCAGATGGTTTTTTATCAAAGAATTTCTAAACTGTAATCATAACATATGCTTGGATAAATTCTGCCAATTAATCATTTTTCCTTCCCATTTAATGCAGTGTTTTATTATTTTTAAATACCAAGCTGCTACTGCTTCTTGGTACTTTTTATTATTTGAAGGAGAAGGGAAAAAAAGAATTCAAGTCCAGAAATCCTTCAATAATTCAGTGGTTCAGTAAAAGCTAAACAGACATTTTTCTCTTCAACAGGCTTTGTTTCATGGGAAATTTATTGACACTGGTTTTTCTCTGCCTTTCTACAAACGAATGCTCAGCAAGAAACTTACTATTAAGGATCTAGAATCTATCGATACTGAATTTTACAACTCCCTCATTTGGATAAGGTTTGTAGATATTTTGTGTGTGTGCGTGTGTTATGTTTTATGAATTTTTTTTGTTTATCTAAAGTTCATTGCATTTTTTTTTCCGTTTTCATTCAGGGATAATAACATTGAAGAGTGTAACTTGGAAATGTACTTTTGTGTGGATATGGAGCTCTTAGGAAAAGTAACCTCACACGAGCTGAAATCGGGAGGTTCAAATATCTTGGTAACGGAGGAGAACAAAGAAGAATATATTGGGTACGAAGGTGTAGATGGTGAAGAAAAGTGTTCCGTATTTCTTCTGTTGCTCTGGTCTTTTCTAACACAGGATATGATTTGGTTCGCCCCCTCCCCCCCTTACTATGTAATTCTTGGACTATTGAAACGATATCTTGGTACATTTTTGCATCTTGGTACACATGATCTTGTGGTACTTTTTGATCTCTCCTATTCCCCTCCTATTCCCCACCCCCCAAAAAAAAAGTCTTGTTATTACATGTACAATGAGAGAATAGGTGAAACTGAAAATGAGCAAAGCTCTTTTCAGTAACTTCATGTAACAAATCCAGGTGGAGGGAAATCTTCATATTTAACAGGAGGTTTTAAAATTGTTCATAACTTCGCTGTAGCTGTGGAAACTGAAATTCGGAAGGGTTATATAATGTGGTGTGACTTAAACTGTTTTTTCTCTTTGTTCTGTTATGCTGCTCTTTCCTGCTTCTCACATAAAACTATCACTGTCTTTCTGTTTCTGAACCTGTATTTCTGATCCATCTATTCAGACTGATCTCAGATTCAGATGTGCACAGATCCTTTTCTGGGATACAGTGCATGTCCAGTGCTGCACATAAAGTTCCCAGTTAAATTACAGTGAAATAGTTTCTGTAGTAGGTATATATATTTCTTTCTTTTTTTTTTATTTTATTCAGAACTAGCTTGACCATTTTAGTTGAAACTTAAAAAATGTTACCTCTTCCTCCAAATCTTGGCATAAATCAGAAGCTCAAAACAGAAAATAACTGCTCTTTGTTGAAGCTGGAAATAGACTTATGCTGGAAGTATTGGGCAACCTTAGTTATAGGTATTATAAGCAACAGTATTTCTTATTATTCTCTGCCTCCATGTTTTTTTTTTGTCTTGGGAACAGACTATTTTAAAATCAGTGGAAATTTTTTTTCTACCATTGAAATACTAGGGTTATGCACTTTTTAAGGTAGAGGAAATTTTGCCATAACAAAATCATAATGCCTGAGTAGCATTATTTTCATGAAAAGACTGCTGAATTCTGATTAATGAAAGGTTGTTAATAATAATACTAATGCTAACAATAACAACAACAACAACAGTAATAATCCATATTTTTTTAACTGGATTGGTAAATCTGAGTGCATCTTGCTACTTTTACTGTTGTCCGAGTTTGGAAATGTTTGGATATTGGTATGGTAGGTCCCTTACAGTCTGTGGAATCATAGGGTGTAAGAAAGTAAAATTGGAGGGAGTGTTCCCTCATGGGAACACAGCTGCAATCAGACATGTCTGAACCTCTTCATATTGAGTGCTAGTGATGGTTGATTGATGTTTGGTTTTTTCCATCCCAGGCTAATGGCTGAGTGGCGATTTTCTCGGGGAGTTAGAGAACAAACCAAAGCTTTTCTTGATGGATTTAATGAAGTTGTACCTCTACAGTGGCTACACTATTTTGACGAAAAGGAGCTGGAGGTGAGGTTTTCTTCTTCAACGTTTGTACCTTTTGCAAAGGTAAAACATATGAAATTACTAAATAGATAGCACACCTTGAGTCTTTCATCTGTGGCATGCTGCACTTGATAGCTTCTGGAACATGGAGAGTTTAATAGGAGCAGTGGGGGTAAATCATGGTGAAAAGCCAGTACCTGTTGAATTGGTGTTTTGTGGTGTTTGCATTTGGGAATTTTAGATTCTACCCTCAGTATTAAAATATCTTTTGCAAGTTGCTATGAAAGGATCAGAATATGAGGTCACAGATGGATGCATTGGTCATAGAGAAGTTTTCCCTCTGTGGTAGATGGGTAGAATTCCTTTGTCACAGATGGCACAGAAGTTGATTCTGGTGTACAGCAATTACTCAGTTTTGCATAGACAGTCTAGGGTAGGTTCTAGGGTTATTGCATGTAAGGACAGGAAGCTGGAGGAACCAGCATGTTTTGAAACTGAAATTTGCAGACCCTCAATATGTAACCCAGGGGCTGATGACAGGAATCGCTTGCATGCACCGTGTTTACTTAACCATCAGCCTGACCTATGTTCACTTTGGGCTCCTGATTTGAAGCAGTAGTGCCACGCTTACGTATTTCTGTGAGACCTGCCAAGGTTCTCTATATAAAAGATTGTTGCTCTGAAAGCTTCTCAAGTTAAATGGGATTTTTTCCTGAGAAAGGACTTTGATCTATCTTATTTAGTGTTCATTTTTCTAGGAGGCTTTGCCTTTACCACTTTCACCTTTCATTGCTTCTTGTAATGAATACTTTGCAGGCTTATGCTCTGCAGTGTGTTTTATCTTTACTAGTAGTAGCAGTAGCAGCAGCAGCAATGTAATCATCATCATCATCATCTTGGAATACGAGGCAGGGTTTTAATGGGAGAGATAGTGCTCTCTTTAATAAAAGATTTTCTTTTCTGAGAAAGGTAGTATCTTTTTTTATTTTATTATTAGTCAGAAAAAAACTGAAGTTCCTAGTATGCAGGCGTTCAACCCACTTAAATGCATAAACATTTTTGGAAGAGTTCTGCAAACCTAGGATAAAGGAAAATCTAACTGCGGAGTAAAATGAAAATGTTACCAGTCCGTTTTTTGGAGCGAGAACCTCCATTTTAGTTTGCGTGTCTCATACAAGATACTAAATTAACTCTTAACTTACGTTTGTAGACATTTATATTGTGAAATAATAATTCTCTTTTCTAGGTTATGCTCTGTGGTATGCAAGAAGTTGATTTGGCAGACTGGCAGAGGAACACTGTTTATCGTCATTATACACGGAATAGCAAGCAGATCATATGGTTCTGGCAGGTAAGTTGATCAGTAAAATTTCTGACTTCTTTGGATTTTGTTTTGTAACACAAATGACATGGGGTGGAGGGATGACATCTGAATGAAGGTTCTTGCTGCTTCCTTTCTTTTCAGTGAAGAAAGGTTACTGGTTCTTAGGGAGCATACTTCAGATACCTGTGTTACATTTGGATGGCTGGGTCATGAATAGTTTTTCTCTATCTTGTCCTTCTTATTGATTATACAACAATAAAGTTTATTTGTATTTTAGCAGTGAAATACCTTCTAAATATCCTTACATGTAGTACACCTGTACATCTGAAATAACACATATTATTTATGATCAGTCATATTAACTGTGCCAGTCTAGCACTGACTGATTATAACTCGAATTTTGATGAAGTTGGCTAAGAATTCTTTTCAGAAGAAAACCTCCAAAAATAGCTCCCAGTTTCTATGGATTTCCTAAAGAGAAGTCACAGCTAGGCAGTTCCTCTCTTGTGATGAATCACCATTTTAGAGCTACTTCTGACAAAGAAAATGATGCAAACCAGTTATTTTCTCGCTTATTTAGATTGTCAGAATAAGGTAAGGTCTCCAACTATGTTAAAGACTTTTATTAAGTCATTTGAATTTCTGTGCCTAGTTTGTAAAAGAAACAGACAACGAGGTTCGCATGCGACTTCTGCAGTTCGTCACTGGCACTTGCAGATTGCCACTGGGTGGATTCGCTGAACTCATGGGTAAGTAAAAGGTGACCAAAAGTTTTAAATGGTAACTGTTCCATTTGCAGATGAACCATGCTGCAAGTGTACAGACAGCAGGAACCTCATCTACATCAGCTTGGGCCTAGAAAGGCTTTTTATGGCAGAAATCCCACAGATTTATAGTGCCACATTTATAAATGATTAGGAAATTAGGAAATGTTCATGTAACATTGAGTAGCACCTAATGAGTTCTGTCTGCTGTATGTGAGTTGTGTTTTATGTCAAGTATGTATCCCGTGTGCTACTTGAAAGGAACAGATTGCACTTTTTTAAAATTTTCTTTTCTAGGAAGTAACGGTCCTCAGAAATTCTGCATTGAAAAAGTTGGTAAGGAAACCTGGTTACCAAGAAGTCACACTTGGTGAGTTGTTACATGTAAACTTTCTGTACCTTTAATGATTCTCTCTTCTGGTCTTGCATTTACCAAATCAAGTGAAATCTAATTTGAATCAGTTCTGTATCTCCATCTTCAGCTTTTTGATTGCTCTGACAGGCCAGTGTTGAAAACCCTTCTGGTTGCCGTATTCTTAAGTTTTGCTACTGCACTGTACACAGTTTGTCAGTATCAAATCTATTGAAAGTATGATATCCTTCTTGCATAGGACTGAGAGGCATTGCCCTAATTCTTTATTTTAGAGAATATTAAATAAGTGAATAAAAGTCATGTTGGTACTAGGAATATTGATTATTAGGGCCATTATTATGGATTAGCAGGGCTGCAAAAATGATCGGAGGGCTGGAGCACGTCCCCTGTGGGGACAGGCTGAGGGTTGGGGCTGTTCAGCCTGGAGAAGACAAGAATCTGGGGAGACCTTATTGCAGCCTTCCAGTTCCTTGAAGGGGTCCTACAGGAAAGCTGGGGAGGGACTGTTTTCTAGTTGTTAGATCAGAACATTTTTAGCAGCAGTCAAGTTCTGTAGTGTTAGATGTGGGATTTAGATAAACTTAACATTCTTTTTCTTCTGCTCAGTTTTAATCGTTTGGACCTGCCACCATATAAAAGCTATGAACAATTAAAAGAGAAGCTGCTCTTTGCCATTGAAGAAACAGAAGGATTTGGTCAAGAGTAGAAGTGGCGTTGAGTGAAAAGGAGATCTTGCATAATGAAAGGCCCAGCCAACTAAAATTGCACACTTAATTGTATATAAGCTTTTGGTTCTGTACAGTGATCTTTCTGGAACTCTAAAAGTGTAATTGTTCTCCGTTCTTCCACAATGATATGCAAAACAGTTCAGCCTTTTCTACTTTTATTTATTGCCCTTCCAAAAGACCAGAAAAACCCCTCATAAATTTTGAAAGCAGACAAGAGACTTATTTAAAATAT